AAGGGGCTCTGGATATCCCTAGACCAAGAGGCAGTGAGCCCCATTTCTCCTCCTGCTGACTGGTGAGAGTGAGGAGTAACTGCACTGGTCTTAATGGACATACATTCTGCTCATGGGAGGAAACTCTTAGAGGGAACACTTCCCCCAGCCTCTCCGCCCCCGAGTTAATGTCACACACGTTGGGTTAATGCAATTGTAGGATAGTTGCATGAGAGGGGTTTGGTGGGGACCAGACTAATCCCTATTGGTAGGAGGAGTCCTGAGAGGGGGGGTCACATGACACCTTTTACTTTTGGTCATGTGTCCATCTTGCCCTGAGAGTGTTGCCTCCAGAGGCCTGGCTAATGGGGGTCAGGATTGTGGCTTTTTGGGTTAGGGTTAGGGTTAGGGTTAGGGTTAGGGTTAGGGTTAGGGTTAGGGTTAGGGTTAGGGTTAGGGTTAGGGTTAGGGTTAGGGTTAGGGTCGCTAGAGAGAGCCTCAACATTGGCTGCTGGGGTCTCTGGGAAAGGGAGGGAGTGGGGGTGGAAGAGCAAGTCAGGCAGAGGGGCACCAGTTTAATGAGCCCTGCCTAGGGCACCATAAAGCTTAAGGACGGCCCTGCCTGCCTCCTTCAGCCTGACTCACTACTTGGCCCCTTTCCTGCCTCCCTGCCTGGGCTGTGCCGGTGGCCGACAGGAGCTGCGGCTGCGGGTGGTGGGAAGAGGAGGGGCAGGGAGAACCCGGTGGCAAGAGGGTCGGTCCACCTCTGTGCTGCTTTTTCTCCCCCACAGCTGGATTCCAGGGCTCGTCCAAGGGGGCTGCTCCCCAGACTCCCCCAGGCCCGCTCTGTCTGTCCCCAGATCCCCCCGCAGCCAGGCTGGGTGAGTGGCCTGAGAGCCATGAGAACTGGAGTGTCTGGTTATCATAGTATTTCCGCAAAAAGCACTGATTTCTTACAGTAGGAAGTCGGTGCTTTTGCGAAAATTCAAGCGGCCAGTGTAGACAGCTGGCAAGTTTTTCTGGAAAAGCGGCTGATTTTCCGGAAAAACTGGCCAGTCTAGACACAGCCCAGGAGTCTGTGGTTATCCCCACACAGCACTGGGGCTCAGCACCAGTTCCCCCTTCCCGCTGCCATGAGAGCTGGTGAGACTACACAGAAAAGACCCCATTGACACTGGGGCCAAGCACAAGGGTGACAGCTGGTCTCTGGGCCGCTTGCCCCAGGATGGAACCAGAACCCCCACACCTCACAGCACAGGCGAGCTTCCCACCCTCGGTGCTAAGTGCTCATCCCTTGAGAACAGCGTCAGCTACACCCCCAGCAGTGGGATTCACGGGCACCAGAGGGACCTGGGGCTTACAGAGCCTAATGGCCAAGAGAGGACTAGGCAATTAGTCTGTAGCTGAGACTGTCGCCCGCATTCTCCGGCTGCTCCATCCCATCCCCATGTCGGGCAGGGAACCCCCCAGTCTCTTGTTACCCCGGGCCATTCAGAGTCATTACTCCCCAGTGCTTCCTGGGGCTCTACATCGAGGCAGTGCATCCCCATTAGGGGAGCCTGCCTCAGACTCATTTTGAGGCTTCCCTGTAGAGTGGATGCTCTTATTTCAGAATGTATCTTCCAAGAACAGCTTATTCCGAAATAACGGTGCAGTGTAAATGCACCCTGAGTGCCTAGTTCCAAGTTTAGGGCCTGGCAGATGTTTTGGAGGAGTGACTGTCAGTTTGGACCCACCATGCTTCATGGAAAGGGGCCATAGAGTCTAAAAAAGGAAAGAGCAGGAGAACACGCCCAGACAGGCGGCACGGACTGATCCAAAGTGCAACCCGCCTATTTCCCAGCAGAAGGAAGTGAAACTAAACTCTCTGGTCTCTGCACCACAAGCCATGGCTGCTGTGAATCCAGCAAAGACGCTCGAGGATGAAATGACCTGTTCCATTTGCCTGGATTATTTCGACGATCCAGTGTCTCTGGACTGTGATCACAGCTTCTGCCAAGGCTGCATCACCCAGTACCGGGGGAGACTCACCACAGATGTTTCCTGCCCCCAGTGCAGACGGACCTTTCCCCAGGGGAACCTCAGGCCGAACAGGCTGCTGAGGAGTATTGTGGACGCAGCCAGAGAACTCCGGTTGCAGGCAGGGATGAAACCAGCCCCAGAGAGTCTGTGTAAGAAACAC